TGGGCTTGCGGCTCTGCCGCCATCCCTGCTGACGCGGTTCTTTCCTCCCCGCCCCGTGTCCCTGCCCCGCCTGGCGCCATCTCAGCAGGGCATCGACTACTGTGAGGTTTTCCAGGCTATGCACATCCGCCACGAGCAGAACCAGGTGGGCGTGGCTGGCTGGCGGTCCGGTCTTCGGCATACCTATGGCACAGCAGTGCGGGTGTGTGCAGTTGACAGGGGAGCCGGGCAGGCACTTTCGTGGCTGGGTGGGTGGGTGGGTGTGCATGCCATCCACCATCCCCTCCGCCGCGCCCCCGTGTGTCACTGCGAGCAGGACCATGTGGCGCCTGGCGGCGAGCGGGAGGGCGACGGCGAGGCGCGTGCAGCGCAGGAGGCTGAGCTGGCGGCCCGCCAGCGCGCGGCGGCGGCGGCGGAGCAGCGGCGGAGACGTGAGCGCCGCAGCCGCGCCCGCTGCGCCCGGCCTGCCTGGCCTCGCCTGGCCACTGCACAGCTGCTCGCCTGGTGCCGGCCGGCCTGCTGCTCTGCTGCATCCCCACTCCTCTCACCCTTCCCATCTGCTTTCGTGTCCACCCGTCTGGCTTCCCTCCCCACCACCTCCTCGACCCCCTTGCTGTCCCCCCCCGCTGCCACTTTCCTCCCGTGCAGGAGGGGAGCGGGAGGTGGATGCAGATGAGGAGAGCTACTTTGACAGAGAGGGCGACTCGGGTGGGTGCCTCCTCTCCTCCCTCCCGACCTCATTTCTTCCCCCCCGGTTGCGCTCTCCCCTCCTGGCAGCATCGGCCTCCCTTCTTCCTGCGCAGCATCGACGGGCGGCCAACTCGCTTCCCTGCCGGCTGCGAGGCCGTGTCCCGTTGCTTGCTGGCGCGTGCTTGCCAGCGCTCGTCTGGCCGCCGCGCGCGCCCCTGCCTGCCCACTGCTGCCCTTGCTCCCGCCCCCGTGGCGCGCCTGCCGCAGACGAGGATGAGGCGCAGGCGGGCGGCGGCCGCGTGATGCTGGAGAGCGCCTCGCCGCTGCCGGGGCTGCTGGGGCCGCTGGTGGACTATGGGGATGAGGATGAGGACGACACGCTGCCGCTGAGAGGTGGGTGGGCGCAAGACGCAAGAGAAAGTTGGAAGGAGGAGGGGCAAGGGGCGCTCTGCCGTGGATGGGTGGCATGGCGGGGGGGCGAGGGCGGTGGCATGGCGGCCCAATGTGGGTGGATGGGAGGGAGGCGGAGCGAGGGCAGGTGAGGGCAGGGAAGGAGTGGGGTCGTGGGCAGGTGCATCCCCCGCACCCCCCGCCCACCCTTTCGCCGGCGGCCCGGCTCGTCCCCTGCCGCAGCCGCGAGCACGCCCAAGCGCAGCCCCGCGGCAGATCGGCCGGGCTCGCCGCCACTTGAGAAACGGTTCAGGCCGTCGAGCGCGCCTGGAGCGGCCGGTGTGTGGGCGGCGCAGAGGCAGAGCTCGGGCTCCAGCCGCGGCAGCCCGCCGCTGCGGTAGCGGACCTCGCCGCCGCCATGCCCAGCCAGCGTGCCTCCCCTCTCTCTCTTCTGCACGCTTTGTTCTGCTGCTGCGCTCCCTCCCTGCTGCCGCTGCACTTGACACCCGTCCAACTGCTCCGTTGCTTGCTGCTCCACTGTGTTGTTTGCTGCTCTTCTCCCGCCCATACCATCCCTTGTTTCTTTCCAACACCCTGACCCGGCTACCTACAGGTGCACTGCCGCAGCAGGCCTTGCCTGCCTGCCTGCCTGACAAACCCATTGTAACAGACGCAGGACAGCGGCCGGCAGCCATGCTTGTCGTAGTGGCTACAGAGCACGCATGTGGTCATGCCACCAGCGGCATGGACCTTCAGTCAGAATGGATGAAATGAACATGAAACTTGGGAGCGATTGTTTGTGCAGGATAAAAAGGTTCTTGGTTCATTCTGCTGCGTTGCGGCAGGCTGCAGAAGAAGAGGCACCGTAGCGCGTGCCATGTCGGCGTGCCACGTCAGCGCCCAAACCGCCTGGCGCACTCCTCATAGCTGGCTTCCGCTTCCTCCAAGTGGCTCTGAGTCTCGGCTAGCTGGTTGGCGAGGTCGGCCTCCGACTGCTGGCACTCTATCAGACGTTTGGCGCTGGTGGCGCGGGCGCCTGCACACGGGAGATGGACGAGGCGCAACTGAAGGCGAGCAGCATGAGCGGCCTGATGCTGTGTGGCGGACCCAGCGCTCCCGCCCCTGTGCCCCAGCCACTGGCAGCCGCGGTATCATTTGCTGGTCATGAGCCATGCCTGTCCTCCCCTCGCCAGTACACCTCTCCAGGTCGCCCTGGCACCGCCCCGCAGAGTCTGACAGCTGGCTCTCGTTGTCCCGGCAGGCTTGCAGGCTGTCGGCCGTGGTGCCCACTTCCTCGCCCGCCACCGCCTTCTCCTCCTGGCAGGCAGCCAGCTCAGACTCCAGGGGGGCTGCAGCACGGGCAATCAGGCAGGCAGGCAGTTAGCACAGCACATGAGCATGCTGAAGGCACAGATTCCATGTCTGTCTTGCGCTCTCCGGCAGCATGCATCCAGTACACGCACAAGCGCCATCACGCCGGGCACCCGTGCCGCGCCGACTTGCCGTTGGCATCCTGAGCAGCCCGCAGCTCTTCCCGGCACGCCTGCGTGCTGCCCTGTGCCGCTTCGAGGTCGGCGGCGCGGGCGGCAGCGGTGGCATTGGCAGCTGCCAGCCGGGAGGAGCAGGTCCGGGCCCTGAGCACTGCTGCCTGAGCGGCGGTGGTGCAGGCGAAGAGCTCGTCGGCGCTGGCGCCCAGCTGCACGGCAGCAGCGCAGGCATGGGGCGGAGTGGGAGGGGCGCTGAGGTCCCCAGCAGATGGGCAAGCATGCCGGCTGTCCCTGCGCATGACACGTGCGGCTGCGCGGGCCCTCTGAAGCACAAGCAGCATGCATGCCAGGCAGGCGCCACTTCATTCTCCCCTGCCTCACCTTCTCCTCCAGCTCCGCAATTGTGGAGGCTGAGCCCGCCACCTGGGAGCTCGCATCAAGCAGGTCCGCCTGGCTGGCAGCCAGCTGCACCTCCAGGCCGCCAACCTCTGCCAGCCTGCTGGCCGCAAGGTCCCCCGCCTGCGCCGCCTCCTGCTGTGCCTCCTGCAGCTGCTGCTCCGCTGCCGCGGCGGCAGCCGCGGCCGTCTCCTGCGCCTCGCCCAGTTGCTGTTGGGCCGCCGCCAGCTGCGCCTCCAACTCCTGCTGAGCAGCCTGCGAGTCGCTGGCTGCCTGCTGCGCCGCCGCCGCTGCGCCCTGCGCCTCTTCCAGCTGCTCCCGCAGGCTGTCCAGCTGGGCCGCCAGGTCCGCCAGTTGGGCATCGTTGGCCTCCCCGGCAGACTGGCTGTCCTCTAGCTGCACCTGCAGGTCTGCGAGCGCCTCGTCTTTGGCGGCAGAGGCAGCCTGGCACTGCTCCAGCTGCAGCTGCAGCAAGGCTGGGTCCTGCAGGTGCAGGCGCAGCGGCAGGGGCAGGCAAGCAGGCAGGTGGTGGTGTGTGGCTGCATCCAGGCTGGTGTGTGGGCCAGGTGCATGCATGCGGGAGAGGTGGCTGCAGCTGGTGCGGCTGTCGGATTGCGCCCGCAGCGCCGCACCTGGGTGGCAGAGGCTGCCGTGGTGGAGGTTGCTTGGAAAGAGCCGCAAGCCAGCTTCTTCACCTGGCTGCACAGCAGGGGAACCGTGGCAGCTGCACTGGTGTGATGTGTACTGAGGGGCAACCGTGCCTGAAGCGGTGCCTCGGCCCTGCCACAACAGCGCCGCCGCCGGCCTCCGGCCACGCGCCCAGCACTTCTTCCAGCGGTGCCTTATGCAGCAAGCTTCGCTACCTTACCTGCAGCGCCAGTTTCTTGGCGCCGGCGTTGCAGGCGGCCAGGCTTGCGGCGGTGCTCTTGAGCTTGGCGGCGGCAGAGGCAGCTCCCTTTGTGCAGCCGGCCAGCTTGGCGGCGGCGCCAGCGGCCGTGGACTTGGAGGTTTACAGCCGCATGCTGCAGGCTGCGAGCTGGGCCTTGGTGGTGGTGCCGGTGCGGGCCTGTGCAGTGCAGGCGCCCAGCATTGTGGTGCAGGCGGCCAGGGTGGCGGGCTTGGTGGTCGCCTTGGCGGCGGCGGGTGTGGGGCGCGGCACCGCTAGCAGCTGCCGCGGGTGACCAGCATCGGCGGCGCCATGGGTCTGGGCGGCTGCAGGGGTAAGAGGAAGCATGGGATGTTCCACGTGCTCTTGCAGCATTGTGGCGCAGCGGGCGGCACTGGCACCGGCGTGGCGGCACCGGCACGGTGGGACAGCGCGCGCGATTGCTATCCGGCTTGCGCGCCACTGCAATGCAGATCTGTTGCCATCGGCCGCAGGCTACCTCCCCGATGCAGCTGGGGCGTTCGTGGCCCGCGAAGGAATGGCGGGGAGCAGTGCTGACCACCAGGGCTCTGCCTGACACCCAGGCGCCCGCCCTATTTGCACCTTACCCATGCTACGAGTGCCCAGAATGCACGCCAGCGTCAGCAGAATGCGAAAAACTGCGCCCTGGTCAGCCATCGAAGTGGGAGCTGGCGATTGGGCTCACTAGGACAGGGGTGAGGCCTTGGGGTGGGGCTGGTGAGGCATACGCGGCACAATGGCGATGAATAACCGAAATGGGGAGGGGAGAGTACGCAGTACTTGGCCACGCCCAGCTACCCAGCAGCGCGCTTGACACCAGAAATCGGGATGGGGCCAGAACCGCCACCAGCAGGTGGCATACTGACATCTAAAGAGGGGCACAGAGCGCTTCGCCTCGGATGGGTTCCCCTGTGGCCCTGCCACCACCGCCGCCGCCGCACAAGTCCGCACCGACCCCTGCCCGCCGCTGTGTGCAGCTAGCTGGCAGGAGCTCCCCACTTCCGTACTGGCACAGCCATGAGATGCACCGGGCCATGCTCCAAGCAACACCCTGTCACATCTGGCTTCGCAGCTTGCCTGGTGGTCTGGCAGCAGCTGGCGGCAGTTGGGCGCCGGCGGCAGCCACTGGCTGGTGGCGCCGAGTGCTGTTTCAGGCTTACAATACGTAGCCACATTGATAAAAATTGTAAAGATGTAAAAGAATTGGTAAAATGATTGAAGCATATCATGAATGTCATGGTTGCGCAAGCTGGGGGCACCCCAGCCCGCACAGACAGGTGCGGGCGTCACGCATTTGGAGCACAAGGGAGTTGGTGTGGCCAGCATGGGGGCAGAAGGCTGGCCAGTCACAGCAGCGGTGTATGGATTGCAAGTTGCAACGAAGGGGATGGAAAATTGAGGAAAATACTTGGGTGTTGGGTGAAAGAAGTGGAGCTTCAGTGGGAGTTGGGTAGGGCGGCGGGCTGGCTGGCGCCAGCGTGCAATGGCAGAGTGCCACTTCAGCGCCCAAACTGCTTGGCGCACTCCTCGTACGCGCCTTCCACCTGCTGCAGGTGCCTCTGGGTCTCAGCCAGCAGGTTGGTCTGGTCGGCAAGCGAGTGCTGGCACTCTATCAGGCGGTTGGCACTGGTGGCACCCGTGCCTGCGAGCAGAGAGCGGGCCGAAGCGGTGGCAAGCGTGAGTGGTAGCACACGGCAGCTGGGGGTGCCTCGGCCACCTCTCCTCCTGCTTGTAGCGGCAGCAGGACTTCTCCTGCCGTGCGCAGCAGCGCCGCCATGCCCCACACCCACCTGTGCGCTTGATCAGGTTGGCCTCGCAGCGTTCAACGGAATCAGAGAGCTGGTTCTCGCTTGTGCGGCAGGCTTGCAGGCTGGCAGCCACAGCGGCCGTCTCCTCGCCCGACGCAGTCTTCTCCTCCTGGCAGGCAGCCAGCTCATTCGCCAAAGGAGCTGCAGCACGTGTAAGCAGGGGCGGGATGAGGGGCGGCCACCAACGCTCAGCTGCCAGCCCTAGTGCGGTGCTGCCGACGGTGCTCGCTGAGCCCACCGCTGGCCCCGCCAGCCGCCAGCCCTGCGCCACAGGCACTCACCATTGGCAGCCTTTGCCTGCCACAGCTCGCTCTGGCACGCCTGGGCGCTGGCCTCGGCTGCTGCCAGGCTGATGGCGCAGGTGGCAGCCTGGGCGCTGGATGCCGCTAGCCGGGTGGAGCAAGTCTGCAGCTTGATCTCGCAGGTCTGGGCGGCGGCGGTGCAGGGGGTGAGGCGGTTGGAGGTCGCATCCAGCTGCATGGCGCGGGGTGGGAGGGACACCACATGCTCATCAGAAGGCAAAGATGCCATCACCATACCGAGGGTGTGCATGCGGGCCAAGCCCCCTCCTCCCCCGCCACCTGCCTGCCTCACCTTCACTTCCAGCTCTGCGATTTTGGAGGCCGAGCCCGCCACCTGGGCGTTTGCCTCGACCAGCTCCGCCCGGGTGGCGGTCAGCTGCTTCTTCAGGCTGGTGATCTCGGCCAGCCGCCGCTGAGCCAGCGCAGTCGCCTCCTGCGCCTCCTTCAACGCCGCTGCCAGCTGCTGCTCCGTGGTGGATGCCGCCGCAGCAGCCACCCCCTGCGCTGCACCCAGCTGCTGCTCCGCCGCTGCCTTGGCGGACGTGCAGGCGGTCAGCTTGGCGGTGCAGGTGGCGAGGGCGGTCGGCTTGGCGACGGTGGCGGCGGCCAGCAGGCGGCGCGTCCCGTGGGTGGCGGCGCCGCGGGGTTGGGCGGCTGCAGGGTCGCACGGAGGGTGGCAGAACGTGTCAGGTGGGAGGTTGGAAGGCTGGAGGCGTGGAGTGTTGCGTCTTTTGCTGGCGACGCTCCGCCGTCGCCAAAGTGTCTGGTCGGCGCGCGGCGGCGGCGGCAGCCCAGAACGAGCCGCATCCGGGAGAGCCCGCCGTGCTGGCGACCCCCAATCATCAAGCGTGGCTTTAAATTGCGCCGATCGGTGGCGCCGACGAAGAGTACGCCGAGAAAATACGAAGAGTCCCCATGGGTTCCCCTGAAGCATGCGCTGCGCCTCCCGCAACTTTGCAGGCTGCGCTTGGCGCCGCTCACCTGCCATGCACGCTGTAAGCGTGCAGAGGAGCGCCAGGAGCGAGACGTGCAGCATTCCAAGGCCAGCCATTGTCGTGGATGTGAAGTGCAGAACGACAAGTAGGGCCAGGGACTTGGGCTGCGGTCGGCCTCCGGCAAGGAGGAGTGAAGGTAGAACAGAATGCGCGGGCAAGACCTCAACGGGGCGGACATGGGGAGGAGGCGCATGTGTAAGGTCAGGCCGCAGTACGCAAAGGCGCTGGGTCAGCGTACCGCTGTGCCCCCCTTGCATGCTGTAATATGCAGCCTCGTGAGGTGGAAGGGGTTGCTGGGCGGCGACTTCCCCTCATAGACTCGGTCTGTTATTGATGCTTTCCACAGACCAAAGCCTCGTCGTCCCACAGTTGCAGCACCGCCCGCCTGCTGATGTTGGCTGCAGGGTCTTTAGTGGCGGAGTGACAGTGCGGCCCGAGGGAGCAGGGTCTGGATGCAGAATGCTGAAACAGCCTTATTGCGAAGCGCAGGCCAAGTTGACCCAAACTTGAAGTGGCAGAGAGCGGCCAGCAAGGCCAGCGCCTGCCACACTGTTGGCAGCCTCTCGGGACGGTTGATATCCCAGCAACCGGCACAGCTGTGGCTGTGTTCAGTACAGCCACTTAGCGGCGCTCCCCTTGAGTTTCTGCTACACCGCCATTGGCCCTGCTGGTGCTGCACAGGCTCAGCCTCAGCAGGATGCTCGTGGCCCACTGCCGGGCTCCATTGGAGAGGATTCTGCTGGGCGAGAACAGGCCGCGGCGATGGCAATTTCCTTGTCGCACTGGTGTGCGGAAGAAGTGTCATCTTGCAGTGCAATGGCCCACGGTTGCAGCTCACCCATATCGAGGAACCTACACTGTGCTGCTGCTGCGGCGGCGGCCTGGCACCGCCCCACCCCCCTGAGTATGATTGCGGCGCTGCATGCCCAGCCCGCTACCTGTAGTACCCAGTGCCGGACACAAATAGCGGCATCAGGGGGCGCGTTGGGGGGCATTGGGGCGAGTAGAGTGCCTTCCTCACGTAGCCTGGCTTCCTGCATGGAAACTGGTGGACGCCCCCCTCCGGCACTTTTCGCTGGTTCGCACGGCTCATCACACTCACACACCTGGAATGCGGCTGGCAAGAGGGCCCGGCCCCCCGCAAGGGCCGGGCTGCCTGATGCTGGCAGCCGCCCTGCTGCTGCTGGCGCGCCCCGCAACCGCCGAGTGAGTGTCCCGAGCCATCCGTCCACTCCCGGGGCGGGGTTGGTGCCCGCCGCACCGCCCGCCTGCGGCCCGGCCCCGCCGCCTGGCCCCTGCCGGCGCGGCGCGGCGCCGCCGAAACTCAGCCGGCGCCCCCTCCCGCCTGCCACCGGCCGATGCCTCTCCCATCCACACACAGCCAGCAGCGCTCTCGGCCCTGCCAGACTGCTCTGGCACCAGCCCTGGCCCGCTGCCAACCAAGCGGCTGCGCTGACCTACCCTGACCTCCCCTGCCCATCTGCACCGCATGCAGGGGCCTGCTGCTCAAGGTCTACCACACACCCGCCAGCCCCATCAAGGCCATGCCCTCCTTTGCCACGCTGGTGAGCAGCCTGGTGGGGTCTGGCGGCCTGGCTGGGGCACCGGCCGGCTGCCCCTCGCATGCACTCAGCGAGGCAGCAAGGCACCAGGCCGGTCCCTCCATCCCTCCCACCGCTGCACAGCAACTCACACAGACCGTGCCCAGCGCCACCCTCTGAGACCCCACCTCCGATTCCCCAGTCTCCCTCCGCTAACCCCTGCCTCCCTGCTCCCTACATCTGCCCCCCCACCCACCATGCAGACCCCAGTTGCCACCGACAGCGTCGCGCCCGTCGACTTTGCCTGCCGCCGCCCCGCCAACCTGCGCTGCTGCGGACCCTACTCAGAGCACACTGCCGCGACCCTGGAGGGCTTCCTGTCAGTGGAGCAGAACGGCACCTACGAGTGAGGGGTGGGGGGCACATGTGGGTGGGTGGGGACGACCGGAGCGGCTGCGCGTGCTGGCCGGCTGCGCCTGCCCTCCGGCCTGACCGCCGTGCTTCAAGCAAGTTGCCACCCCGCCCGCCACCACCTGCACCCACCCGCCCGCCTGCCGCCATCGCCCCGTCCCCGCCTGCCCGCAGGCTCTTCCTCAACGCCGACGACGGCGCCACGCTGGCGCTGGACGGCAAAGTGGTGATCGACAACGGCGGCGCGCCACACATAGAGCGGGAGCTGGGCCTCTCCATCTGGTTGCAGTCGGGCCTGCACCCGGGTGCGTGTGTGGGGTAGGGTGGGGTAGGGTAAGGTCGTTTGCTGCTGGTGTTGGTGGCGGTGGGGGTGTGGCGGTGGCTGGCAATGTATTT